AGGGACGGCTAGCGCAGATAGCCCTCGTGTAGCTTTGCGCGAAATCCAAAAACAAACAAACAATCTGTATCTGAATCACTTAACGGATTAGGTAAACAAAAATCAGTTCTCTGTTGGTCTCGAGCTTTTTTTTGTTTGTTTTTCCCCTAGTAAGCCAAGTTTAATAACAACCCGCGCGCTCAGACCCGTTGCCAAAGGTGGAACATATCGAAATTATGTGACCCATTTTTAAAACTCTCTAGCCGTAATAATTTCGCATGTTTTTCATTATATGTCAAATTAACAATCTAATAGATATACCTTAAACAAAGATAAATTGCTATAAAAATTAAACGATTTAAAATCGTTAATTAAATCCAAAATCACATACTCTCGAGACCAATGTTTACTGTTCGTGTAATAGGCCCTTCGCTAAATACGCCTCGCTCACTGGAGTATTTTTTATCTCTTGGAGATGAACTTTCAGAATACATAAGATTATGACTTTTTTATAGTATTGGGTGTCAATGAGAGACGAAAAATTTTGGATGTTTTAGTATAAATGCACCAGTTGCACCCATCGCTTTCTTTGGCAAAGATCCTCTATATGTTTGGTGAGCGCAAAAAGTCTATCTTACCCGGTAAAACATACCTACGTTTAAAACTTCATCAACACACACACAGTTGTAAACACTTTTTGCACACTAAATTTCAGTTCTTAGGACTAAGTTGTTCAGAAGGGCAAATATCGTGCAACTTTTCATTAACGCTTCGTCGTGGGTATTTTTAGATTGATTAAGTGTCTTTAGAATCTCCATCTTAATTCAATAGTTCGTGATATATATAAGTCACTTAGAGTTATTTTAATTTATTTGTTCTCAAAAGAATAAAAACACATCAATGTTCATCAGTTGCTTTAAGAAGACAGCTGGTTAAATTTCTGATTGTGAAGAAGTTTCCTGTCTAAAAATTATTATTTGGATGATAATGTTGGTTTTTATAAGGAGTCGAGTATTAAGTGATAATCACATGGATTGACCCGACAAGTGCTGACCCCTCACGTGGAATCTGGCTACCTCACAGGTGGTAGAAGAGTGTGCCTTTCCTGATATTACCAGTGACCTTCTGGTTTTATGCTATCTTATTGATTCCCTGTCTTTTGCTTTTCATAGTTACACTATACAGTACTTGGTTTTCACTCATTCTCATTCCCTCTCAATGTTAATGGAGACCTTTCATGGTTGTTTTTGCATTGCTAGTGCAGAGAAGGTCGATATCCTGCTAGTAGTGGTGTGCCGTTTTTGATAGAGACACTTTTCTTGTGAACTTGTCAGCTTTCTCTTAGCTTTACTCTTGCATGGCCTGACACATAGATCAAGGTGGTGGCCTTACTACGCAGCTTCTTAGCTTTCTGCCATCAATATAAAAACCAACAACTTTTATGCAGTACTGTCTGTGAGTCGGTTGTAAATATTATGTTAGTGGAACTGTCTATTTGCAGTTAATTTCTTACAGCAATCCAAACGAAAGCTTGCTTTATGGCTTCCAGCTCCATCTTGTACTGCTTCTAGAAAGCTTAAATTCTCCACCAGCCTTATGCGAAGATTACTGCTCCATTAGATGATGAGTATCCAATCTGCTCTCTCGCTATTTGTGGGCGAGGAATCATCTATGGCTATGATGACAGGTGAATTTACACCATGTGGGTGTCTGAAACCTGGTGATGACTGTATAGCATTTGTCCATCCATGATTGTTTCCTGAAGTAGATTTTAAGCAGTACTCTGCTTGGTTGGTGTCTATCTGGTCGTTTCGTTTTGGATTTAGAATGTTCAGATTGAAAAGGGCATTGGCTAGAAAATGTAATGCAAGGTTCAATTGAAAAAAATTGCTTGTAAACACTGTTGGTGCTTTGTAATGCTACTGAGGCATATTAGATGTAATAGGGTCTTGATGGGGGTAACGTAGCTGAAATATATCTCATGTGTTTTGCATTATTTTAACCTCGCCGCATAGACTCGTATTGATCACTGTTAGTGCCTATACCAGGATGGAACACACAAGACTTTAGTAGAGCAAACAGGTGATATTCATCTGCTTTATTACCTGTCGCAACTTTCGGTGCATTGACTGCTTTTGCTACATTAAAGAACACTTAAGGAAATAATACAATATCATCAAAGAGATAACAGGTATTATTCCGTTCATTATCATCGGTAGTTCCATTAAATATAATCAGAAAATTAAAAGCTTCTAAGCCATAACAATAGAAATATTTGATTTCAATCATTTTCGCCTTAGTCTTCCTAAAAATAAAATTTAAAAAGTTTTTCATCAACAATTTCAAAGTCCTTTAATAATTTGGGTAAATTACTACTCTGCTTCAGTAAACACAAAACTTTTTATGACAATGTCATAAAAAACTGCCACTGTATGTACATTAAATGAATTTTTTCAGGCCATGTATTTTTCACATGATAATACATTTGTCCAATTTAGCCAAGTATATCTTCCCAGAGGTACAGGGAATTCCAATGGGAGGTAATCTCAACCAACAAGTTGCAGATCTGTATTTATTCAAACTAGAATTTTCATATATTATAAACCTTATTAAAAAAAGACTGTAGAAATGCTTTTCACATCAGTTATGCCTATATATATATTATTCTTATAGCGAATTACCAAAGTTTTCTAGACACAGACGAGAAAATTTATCCACTGAAACTCATTCTAGAAAAAAGCTCTGTTACTAAATACAAAAGAAAATATTTGGATATAGATATCAGTATCATTAAACAAACATTTAATTTTAAAGTTTTCAATAAATTCACACTTTCGGATCTGCATCTAAAAACTTTTCTCTCCCTAATACCAATACACCAAATAGGTTATATTACAATATCTACTACTCTCAGCTAGTTAGATACAGTATAATTTGTTCATCATTGCAAGATTTAATGTTATTTATTACTTTCTATAGCCAAATATGTGTGTTTGTTAAGTCTTGGAGGTTAGTTAAAGTAAGATTGATAGTGCTAGAAACATTACATAGTATGTTGTCTTATTTATATTGCATTTAACCTTGTTATGTTTTAATAGACGGTTCAGTATTATTTTCTTATTTATTATTTTGTATCTCCATAAGCATTAGTTTTTAGCTGTATTACAGAAAAACACTGCTACTAACGCGACACAGTTGAAACAACAACATGAGTAGTCATAAGTTTAACATAGATGACACTTTTCTCTAGCATTAGTCAATAGGTTTGTTTGTAGTTATGCACAAAGCTACACAATGGGCTATTTGTGCTCTGCCCACCACGGGTATCGAAACCCGGTTTCTAGCGTTGTAAGTCCGCAGACATACCGCTGTGCCACTGGGGGGGGGGGCTAGTCAATAGGATTAGCTTAACGAATGTCATTAGTAAAAAGGCGTGTAAAGTAGAACTGGAGAAAAAACAGGCATGTTATAATGGGTTACGTTTCAAAGAAATTTACTTCTGCAACACTAGTGTTCAAGACTATGTTTTTCTGTTTCCTTAGTAAGACATACTATAATATTTATTTATTATTACTTTCATTAACAGTATTGGTTATACTATTTAATATATCGGATCTCATTACTTTTTTAATCTCATTTATTATTATAATACTTTTATTATAGATATTGTTTTGCATTGTTAGCTTAATATATGTGTTTTGAAATAAGCTGTCCGAACTTTGCAAGATATTATTGGCCGAATATATTCTTTACT